GTACACCATCTGACCTGTACGTTTGTGTAATGCACTTTACCTTTCACCATCATCATCAATAACGGCAGCCGCCATGATCAATCCACTGCTGGATTAATGAAGGGCCTCACCACACCGTGTCGGTCATGCGGGTGCTTTGACCATACTTCACCATGCTGGTCAGCGCGGGTTGGTGACGAGCGAGCCTGGGGACTTGGACCGGTTCAAGGTATCACTTCCATGCTGATGTTGCCCATCAGTCAGGAATTTAACTCAGGCAGCCTGGTTCTCAGCACGGCGCACCGCTCCATCCAGCGTGATTGTTGCTGACTGCGCTTTGTTACCCTGCTGTTGGATGCTGCGATGGTTATTTTTCTTTCAATCTGCCGAGGAATTTGCTTCGAGCGCCTTCAGGGGGGTCACCACCATAAATAGTTACTTTCTTCACGCGAGGTACATCATAGAGAAACGTTTCACTTCCTCAAACTGCTGTCTCTGTAATTATTTACAGGGACCCTGTGGCAATGGACTGGTGCAAAGTTACAATAACAGCCTTAAGCATGGACGCACAGTGCAACGTGTGCACTGCATGGATTTATGATTCAGCGCGACCAAGTTAGATTCCCATTACAAGCCCAACTGGAACTTGTGGCGAGATATTAACTAGCTCGCCAGGTATGCAGGAGGTCGTGAGCTCGATGCCGCCCCTGGCGCCTGCTGTATATTTGGAGTTCGCGTGTTCTTCCCGTGGTCGCGTGGATTTGTCTCTGGTTCATTCTCCGGCATGGCAGTTTAAACACGCGGCATGAATGAGTACACCGCAGTTAGTTGATTGGCAGGTCGCCTGCGGTGGGGTAAAGTGTGAATACTCCCCGCCTCTTCCAAGATCGTGGATGAGTAGGCCCAGATGCCCTCTACTGGGGCTCTAGAGAGCTCCCTCTAGTGGAGGCCCTTTCTTGTGAGCAGTGGCGTGCGCAAGTCATTGCCGGGGCCGCGCCTTTGCCGCCACATTTACCTCCGCTCTCTTTTTTTGAGCGGCACTTTGCGTTCCTTTGTTTGTTATTTACGAGCAATAAAATGGCAAAGAGCGCAACATTCCGATGCGAGCCCACCTCCGGTGCCACACTTAGAAGCAACAGGCGCTCAGAGTATTTGGCTGCTATAAATTTCCCACGTGATAAGCCACTTCGTTGAGCTATCATTTGTGACCAGATCGTGCTAAACCCAGCTAAGCAGAGAGCAGCAGAGCAGCAAGGTCACATCCCACTCGGCTGACAAACGCAAGCCCTCCATCCTGCGTGTATCTCTTGTAAAGGACAATTCCTTAATGTGTCATCACCTTCACCACCATCATCATCAGCAGCCGTGATTAATCCACTGCTGGATGAAGGTCTCCCCAAAAGTCGCCGCCACAGTCACCCCTCTCGCGATCCTCCAGTGTGAGACAAAGATCCACCGTATAGCCTTCACAGACTGTAGGAGCAAGTGCTGTCCTCCGATGCAGAGGGGCAGGCAACCAGCAGAATCCGAATTAAATAAATGCTTCTTGTTGCTATTTTGGTTGCCGACCACTCAGGATAGCAATTCGCATTCGTGATGGCCTCGATTCATAAGAGTGCACAGTGACAAATGTTCTTACTTACTGAACCAGCGCCTGCATACGAGCTGATTGAATCGTTCCGTCTCCACGGTGGAGGTGCTCTCCTTTTCCTCTGGCTGCAAATCCGTCCTTAAATCATGACCCGTGGGCCGTCATCCCGTCTGGCCGCGACGCGCCCTGCTCCAAAAGCCATACCTGGCAACCCGTTATATCAGTCCCCTACCTTATTGCAGACCAATTCAGACCTCGTTGGTCATGCCCGTGTCCCTTATAAATGCCAAACGTTGATCCCGCAAAGTCCCACCGCAAGGGAGAACACACAAACAAATAGTCAAACTTGTTTTACCCCTATTAAAACGGCTGTACGCCGCATGGACTTGAAAACTCAATTTCCCTGTACAAGAACACGAGATACACCGTATGGGTTGACAGATATTACGAAAGCCCACCGACGTGTTTGCAATTAAGATCGAATCATTCCACGACTGTTTTTCTAACTTCAAATGTTGTCCGACAAAGAGGCAGCGACAACACCATCATCATCATTAAAACCTCTACTATGGATGATAATGGTCGCCAAAACCGACGCGTTAAACTAACTCATGATGATGATGTTACGTCGAGTCGTTACACACCGTGTGGCTTAGTGTAATAGCGGCCTCTTGTGGCGGAATACTGGCATTTACAGAATAACGTTCGTGCAATTCAGCATTACAGGGCTCTATTATTGTTGTGCAGCGCCCTCTCGTGAGAATATTTCGCCATTCATTGACACGGTAAAAAGAGACCCGTGTTGAAAAGGGGGCAAACTATAAAAAAAACGAATTGGACAAATCCGTTTGAGTTTACTGTATTTGATTCATTACACGGATGACCCCGTTTAAGCAGTCGCCCGGCTATTTTACACGGGGCATCCGTGGTGTGTGAGCACAGCAGCAAAGCTAGGACACAAAGATCATCATTATTGTAGAGAACGAGTACAGGCTGAGTCCTGGAGGAATGGTGTACAACGAACTAACGAGGTAATTGACGGTCGTAAGCGAAACACGCGCGCGCGAATAATATAAAACACGCAATGCAAACATAATGTCAGAGCGAGAGGCGCCAGGAAAAGTTTGGCACAGGAGCAAAAGTAAGCGCTACATTTTAGTCTAACAGCGACATTAATACACTACGCGAATTTAAAACAAACGACAGTTTACTGGGTGCCAGTAAACGGTTATGTACATTTTCTTTGGTTCTTTCGGTAAAGTCACGTAGAATGAGAATCATCAGGTGATGATGAAGGCCGCTTGTGTTGTGGCCGAAACGTCGTGATAATTTTATTGTGTTGTTTTATTTTATCAATTTATTATTTTATTCTCATTCTACGTGACTTTACCGAAAGAACCAAAGAAGATGAATCCTTGCAGTCACGAAAGCTTTAAATCGAAGGTTATGTACATTCTAGATTTGTTATGTACGTGTGCAAGTAAGCTCTGAGTCGTGGTGCAACGTGGATTACAAAGAGCGCCCCAGTGAATGGGGGGGGGGGGGTAACCAAGCTGGAGATGAGCGGCAAGGGTCCAATAAGTGAGCCTGCCCATCTTCGTCTAGCGCTAATAATGTCACGATTACAGTGGTCTTGTATCCTGCCGCGAGAGTCTGAGTCTCAGGACTCGTTTTTAAGAGGGTTCCGCCTTGGGATATTTCTCCAAATTGTTTTGTTTTTAAATGAGTGTTTTGCCTGTAAGAGGAAACAGGCGGTCGCGATCTATCCACTGCTGCATGAAGGCGTCCCCCAGGCCGTCCACATCTCCACCTAGCAGCGGCACACGATCTCGTTTCATCGCTCCACCTTCACGGTGGGCATCGTCTCTCTGTTACCGCCAGTGCGCTGTCGGTCTCGACCGTGCGCCTCTGCAACGCTTCTCTGGCCACATTGCTGCTCTTGTTGCTTAGCGTTGCAGTATGCACTGATTGTAAACTTTCTTCTTTTGGAGAATTCGTCATTTGTGTTTCATTGACGAGGTTGAGCTCTTTAATAATAATAATAACGGAATCAGAATATGTATTTATACTGGAGGAATCCGATGAGCTATAAAGCTATTTTTCAGAGATGTCCAGTAGGGTCCTATCATAACGTTACAGAAATCTCGTTTGTGTGGATTTACCCGGGTACTCCACTTTCCTCCCACGTGGAGTCCATGGTGGCTCAGTGGGCCTGACCTAGTAAAATATAAAAAAAATACATTCATGAAGTGTTTTCCCCAAACAAATATATTGTCTGTCGACCGAGTCGCCTTCGCAAAATTCTTCTTAGCCAATTGGGCTTCACTCAGGACATCCACTTACCATTCTGATATGCCTAATTTAACATCTTAATGCAGGAACCCCTTTGAAAAAAAAAGTCTCGAGCTTCTGTGAGGCTTTCCTGGCTAAATAACTGGAATGATCTTCTTTGGTCCTTTCGGTAAAGTCACGTTGAATGAGAATAAAATAATGAAATAAAACAATAAAATTCTCACGACGTTTCGGCCACAACACAGGTTGTTCCTTTCACCTGAAGAAGGCCACTTGTGTTGTGTGGCCGAAACGTCGTGAGAATTTTATTGTTTTTTTTATTCTTTTATTCTCATTCTACGTGACTTTACCGAAAGAACCAAAGAAGATGAATCCTTGCAGTCACGAAAGCTTTAAATCGAAACTGGAATGATCCTATTAATAATTATTACTACTACTATGAGTAGATATACAATACTATACATTGGATAATCACTCCGATGTAGGACGTTTATGAACGTGAGTGTTTAGCCTCAGTGAGGCTTTCCTGGATGCATCCCTGTCGTCATCATCTTCTTGTTATTATAGTACCGTATGTACATACAGCATATCATTAATTGACTCAAAAAGCAAATTAACGACCCTTGTGTAAAAAAAAAAAACACGTAACAATTGAGAATTAGTGAGACATATCTCATGGGCAGAAATGAGACTTGCTGCAGTACTTCTGAGTGTGAACATCACGACTTGGCTTAACATCCCAATGCAGCACCCACAAGAAGAACATAAATATAATAATCATCATCATCATCATAATCTTGAGACTCCTTGAAACTTTCTTGGGTAAAATAATTGGCATCAACTATAATACAGGTGTTTTTTTGGGGGGTTAGATCGCGTAAATATTGTTTTATATTTTATACGTCATGTTTTTTTATATTTACGCGATCTAAGCCCCCAATAAACCGTCTATTATGGGTAAAATTAGTCGCGAAAGCCTCCTGCGTGTTAAACTGATCATCATCATCGTTAACATGACTACAGAGTGTGAAAAAAATAAGAATAGCTTTTGTTTTCCCTTCCTGGCAATAAAACCAAGTGTTAAGATGTTCAAACGCCAAACATAACCCTTTTTTTGTATTTGCGAGGGATCCACCACTGCGCATGAAAACAAAGCACAGAGTCCGTGCCACAAGGGTCCCCCGTTCACGTCCGTGCATTCGCTGAGGCTGCGGGAAGCGTGGAGAGGAAACAACTCCTCCCCCCCACTCCACCTCGTTCCTCTTCCCCTGGGCCACGCCGCACCACGCGGTCACCACCGCAGTGTCCGCGAAATGTTGGCGCGCGCTAAACGAAGTCGACGACGTAGCGGCGTTGTTGTTTTTGTATGTTACTGCGATTGGTAGTTCATCGGCGTCACCGATTTAGCTCGGTTGGCTACGTACGGCGCGAAAGAAGTTCGACATACATGCAATCGTGATGCTCGTATGTTAACGCATGATGACGCGGTTATCTGGATTCACCGCCCGAATGTGAAATTGTCGCTGTCGCTCTGCGTCTCAATCAGCCACACGAAGGAAGAAGAAGGAGAAGCTCAACAACAACAACATCATCATCGGTCGCGTTCAATTTCCCATACTCGACGGAGACTTTCGCCAGCCATAAGCCATCGCTCATGGTCCCTCGTGAGACGTAGCGACTATTAAACCTCTGCATTACCACCGGCCCAACCAGTTGAATTCCTCGCTCCATCTTCGCGGATGCGTCCGCTCCCTTGGCTCGCCACTCCGACCGGCGCCACAGTCTCAATCGCCAACACGTCGCGCCCGGTACGTACGTATCTTAAACTTCTTTCGCACCGTACGCAGCCAACCGTGCTAATCGGCGGTGCCCGGGGTGAAGGAACACAAAACAAACACACACAAAAAAGCCGTTCTGAAGAAACCAGTTTTCAATGTAGGTGATTTAAAGGTGCAAAAAACCCAGTGGCTTCCTAATATCTCTTCGAGCGAATTTGTCCTCCTGCCCATGCGTACCCAGTTCCTGCTCCACAATGCAGGTAACAGTAGCTCATCGATGAAAGTGCTTGTAGACATGTATCGGTTGCAGTGGGCATTGTGCGCGCGCAATGATTTGTTGTTATTGTAGTGACAAAATGCGGGTATGACATGCGGATAATAAAAACAAAATCTAAGTGTGCGTCAAGCATGGCATTAAGCCATGCGTATGCAAGTAAACCATTTAAACTATACATTTTTTTTTATTTTACCAGGTAAGACCCACTGAGCTATATAAAGCTACTTTTCAGAAGCGACCTGTCCGTTAGCTCAACGAAGTGGCTTATCGCCGCGTGGAAATGTATAGCAGCCAAACACTCCAAATCGCGCGGTGTTGATTCTAAATCTTGATTTGAAGCTTTCGTGACTGCAGGAATCCCCATACTCTTTGGTTCTTTCGGTAAAGTCACGTAGGTAATAAAATAAAATAAATCACGACGTTTCGGGCGCAACACAAGCGTCCGTCATTGCGTTCTCTCATGATGACGGGACGCTTGTGTTGCATCCGAAACGTCGTGATCCATTTTATTTTATACCTACGTGACTTTACCGAAAGAACCCAAGAGTATTGATGCTAAATGTGGTGGGAAAAACCGGAGGACCCGGAGAAATTTTTCACGCGACCACTGGGAGAACACGCAAACTCCAAATATACAAGACTTCCTGTATACCAGGCGAGGTAGTTAACATCTCACCACCCCTCAAGTAACTTGTAGTGGCAGGGGGGGCAGCTCGCTATTTATCGGGCTTAGCGTCACACTCCATGGCAGGTGCATTACTTCGTTCTCTGATTATGATGAGGACGGTGAAGTTGGCTAACCACCTACGTGTAAATTGCTCGGCACGAGACTCGGTTGCAAAGGACTTTATGCTGACCCCCGGGCACTGTGGGTGGAATCATCGTGGGTAGATTCCTCTTGGCGGCGGCGATTTGCGGCTTTGCTGTTGATCGGATCCCTTTTATCCGTGCTTATCCACAAATGTGCATCGCCTTTTTCGGGACGTCGTATGTGAATAGTTATTCGTGAAAATGTCCCTCTTGTTTGACTAAAATAACGTAGGTAGCAGGAGCTTCTGTGGATTATAGCGATGGTGGAAATCGTGGGAGGTGGCAATGGCTTGGAGAGGAATTAATTCAGCAGTGGATTGACCTGTTGCTGATGCTCATGAACAGGAGTTTCTGATCGCTCATAAGAAGAATGCCACTGTTATTAGGATTATTCGATTACGATCAATCAGCCTTCGAACACATCACCCAACATGTGCTCGATCTCGTCAAATCTCTGGAAGCTAAAGCAGGTATGAGCCTGGAAAGTACTTGGATGTACGGCCATCGTGTATAAAGTAGCTATTATGAGCTGCTGCTGCGGGGGTTATGTTGCCAGCAGAGGGCAGTCCAGCAAAATCTATCGTTTTACCGTGCTACGTACGGTGCGAAAGAAGCTCAACATGCATAATTACATTGACTAAACTCCCCGCCTTCAAGCTGCACTGGCCAGAATCACGATCTTTATTTATCCTGGAGAAATCCGATGAGCTATGAAGCTCTTTTTCACAGCAGTCCAGCGTGGTGAAGTATGCTCAAATAGCCCCTATGGGTCCGCACGCTGTCAGGAGGCCCTCATCCAGCAGTGGATTAACAACAGGGCTGCGCGTGCACACATTGCTATTGGGTGAGCACATGTAAAGAGTGTGTGACTCGGTCATGTGTCCTCCTTCTCCACCTCTTACATGTCATCATCCTCCAACCTCCTCCTCTCTGTACACTGTAACACCTTCTCCTCCTCGGCGACCTCTTTGTCCTCCACCCTCTGTGCCCTCCGACTTGTCGTCATTCTCCTCCTCCTACTCTCCCTCCTCCTACTGTAACCTCCTCCTCTCCGTCCTCCGGCGCAGGCAAAGGAGAGCACCAGATGACACGGCGGCACCCACGATGAACACCGAGGCATTGCTCCTCGTCGTCATCCACAGCGTGATCACGGCATTCGGCGTGGTGGTGAACGCGCTGATCCTGGGGGTGATCGCCAACACGGCGTGCGCCTACGAGTGCCTGCCGCCCTCCGACGCCATCCTCGTCAACCTGGCGTTCGTCAACCTCCTCATCAGCTTGGTGCGCAACGGACCGCTCCTCTTCTGGGACGCGGGCGTGCGCATGTCCCTGAGCGACGTCGGCTGCAAGCTGTGCATGGGCGTCTGGGTGGTGACGCGCTCCGTGAGCGTGTGGACCACGCTGACGCTGAGCATGTTCCACTACCTGATGGTGAGCAGGCGTCACACGAGCGTCAAGGGCAAGACGTCCGCCCTGCGCAACGCGGCGCTCACGCTGCTCTGCGTGTGGGCCGCCAACGTGCTCTTCAGCCTGCCCGCGGTGGTCTTCTCCGGCAACAGCGCGGGCAACTTCACCGAGCGGCTCATGCTGGTGAGCGGGACCGTTCGCCCGCTGCTCGGCTGCGTGCTCCACTTCGCGAGCGCCCGCGAGGGCCTCGCCTACACCACCGCGTCGATGATCATCAACGAGATCGTGCCCATCGTGCTCATGGTGACGGTGAATATCAAGACGCTGCTCATCCTCCACCGGCACCGGCGGCAACTGCACGTGGCCAGCCTCATGCCGTCGCGCGTCTCCACCGAGGTGAAGGCGGCCAAGGTGATCATGGTGGTCGTGACCATATTCGTGATCTGCTGGGGCATCCACGTGTTCGCGATCAACTACTACAACTACCGGCAGGACGACGACCTGGAGTGGCTCATCTCGCTCGCCAGGTTCTCCACCGCCATCAACATCAGCATGGGCCCGTTGATTCTCGTGGTGGGGCACGGCAAGCTGCGCTCGCGAATCAAGCAATTTTTGCTATCGATCTGTAAGTGATTGTGAAACGGGGCACGGCTGGGCGCGTGTCGCTGCAATGTCTTCACGCCACTGCTGGGTGGAAAGGCCTCGGCTAGGGGAAGCTCTCGAGAGCCCCCCTAGAGAATATTTAGGTCTACTCTTCCACACGGACAAGACGTCTCGGAAGAGGGTAATGTTGTAGAAATAATGGGGGGGGGGAGGGGAGGGAGGGCCTTCATCCAGCAGTGGAATGACAAAGTACTAAATCATATCTTATATGAAAAATTGATCGCATATTTACGTATCCAAGAAAACTCACTCAATCTTTATACTTTTTTTCAGGATGGTCTTGCTACATAGGGATGCTTTGGCTATTCTATTCATGAGTGACTGGCTTGTGGGAAGAAAAAAATACTGAAAACCCGGAGAAACCCCACACATTTGAAAGGCTAACACCCAGAGCTCCCCAGAGATAGTTTCAAAAATCCATTGCTGCCGTACTATCCCATAGCTACTTCACAACCCGATAATATAAATAAAAATTCAGCACATTCGTCAATAATACTGTGGCTTCAAATGTACAATATATATAATAAACGACGTTTTGGGCAATGGCCCTTCCTCATTACACACCTTCAGATATGATAAAGTCCGGTGCATTATGGGTGATTTGGCGTAGGCATTATATATAAAAACAATACAAATAATTCATTCTGAATAAATATAGAATTGTTTTTTTTCTTGGGGAGTGCCATCCCTTGAGAATAAAAACTTCATATTTTTGTTTGGCTCACGGACAGAGGAAAGCAAATGTAATTTTGTATTATTAATCTCACATTGTCATGAACGGAAGCGGTAATAATTGAACTCGTTTCACGGCGTCAGTGCAACGTCGCAAATAGCAAATGCGCAGCCGCACACTGGAAAACATTCTGAAAATCGTTGCGTGAAAGCGTCGAGCTGTTTGCACAGTGGTCAAACCCAGCGATGTTTGCGTAATTCCTTTGTTCACATTGTGAAGGACACGGCGGGGTGTTCTATGCGGTATCGCTGTTTAATAATACAACACAAAACAGTGCGACAGACTGGGCAGATGGGGTTTTCCACGCAGAGTATACACTCCTGCCTGATTTCATTCACACTATACGCAACTGCTGCATACGCAATGCAGCGAGTATCCGAATACATGAATTAATGTGCAGTAAAATATTTTGTGAACATTAAATAAAATGAAAACGTTCAGACGTTACACTTTGTTTTGTTGAATAAAGTTTAATGTTTGGTTACATAACCACGCAGTTTGTTATATATGTCTCTCTTTATTATATAATGGTTTGCGCGCGGGACTTGCAATCCGGAGATCAACGGGTTCGTTCTCCAGGTGCGGCAGCTGAAACGACGGTGCAAGTTTCTCAAATCTTCCCCCCATCATCCCCCGGTGACTGTCCACCACAGCAGTGAAAACGGCAAAAGCGCAGGCGATCGGAAGGTCGCGCGTGGTGGGGTGATGCCTCTGTATGAGACGTCTGGAGCTCTCCAGTATAACTTGATTTAACCCTCCAAATAGAGGGAGCTGCGATTAGCAGGGTTTTGCTGCGTACGATGCGAAAGAAGTTCAACATAGGTACGTACAGCTCTGGATGTCCTGAAAAAAGGCGGGAGCACCCACACTTTACCCCACCACACACCACAGTATTTGGCCTACTCTTCTACGCCCCCCAGAGCGACGTCTAGCGGACGCCCCTTCCTCCAGCGGTGACATCAGCAAGCGATTGTAGGGCTGCAACCATTGCCCTGACCGTTGCGGCCACAGCACACACGTGACCCCAAATGTTGACCCTTACATTGCAGATGCGATGAATGAAGTTTTCTATGATGCACATTATGGGCGCTAAATGTTGTTAGCGAGAAGCTCCTATGAAGGCCGGCACGGCACACAATGCAATGTAATACTAACAATTCTAGATTTGAAGCTTTCGTGACTGCAAGGATTCATACTCTTTGGCTTTTTCGGTAAAGTCACGTAGGTTAAAAAAATATAAAATAAAATAAATGAATTTAGTTGTTTTAAATTTTTTTTTTACCTACGTGACTTTAACGAAAAAAACAAAGAGTATAATACTAACAATGTTCCGCCTATTGTCAATCCATTGCATTGCTACCATTTAGCGGGCTCTCGATCCATCTCTAGCTGATGTCATTGCTCCATCTGTGCAGTGGTCGCAATCACTCCTTTTGACTGCCACTCATGCTTCAGTCTCAACCATTATCTCTTCAAGCGACGTGTCCTGCCCAAAACCCACCTATCCATAACAATCATCATGAAGCCTTTATGGTGGGTGTGTCCTCTGATCCACGTGTCCCGCAATTCCCGCTCAGTTGGCTACGTACGGTGCGAAAGAAGTTCAACATACATACGAGCGTGCGTCACTCCACGTTTCATTGCGCACGTTACAGCTACTCTTCCATGTTCGCTCGTGTCCATATTTCCAACCCATGCGTCATACACTTTTACACTCAATCTTTAATTAGTTTCAACACTTTCAACACGGGGCAATTATCTACAGTGTACGATAACCATAATCCCCAGTAATGATTTGTGTTGCAACTGGTGCTGTAATTGGCACCGAGAGGATGGCCATGATGCCGAAGGTGCCACGTGTGGCGTGAATTGTTAATTAATGAGGGATCCCATCCCAGCTCTTCCCTCCTCCTCCGCTGTCCGCCCCCTCTCTGTGCCCCCCACCCCACCCCTGCCCCTCTCTGTCCCCCGCCCCTCTCTGTCCCCCGCCCGCCGTTCAAGAGCTCTAAGCATCTCAACACAAAGCCCCAAAGGGCTTTATTAGTGTCGGATGTACTTTGAGCTTTTCCGTTGCCTCGTAAAGGTTTCCCTGTTTGATAAATTGGCCAAACAGGTGAATTTTGCTGGTGGTGGTGCTGGTGGTGTTGATGGTGCTCCTCGTGGTGATGGTTGTATTCATGATGATGCTGGTGGTGGTGCGTGTGGTGATGGTAGTGCTAGTGGTGGTGATGTTGCTGTCGGTGATGGTTTATTCATCATCAGGTGAGTGCATCAAGTAACGACTACATAACGTGGTAGGAATCTGGGAAATAACGTCTGAGAAACTGTTGACCCATAACACCAACTCTTAAAGTCTGCGTAGTCTCAAAGTGCACCTAGCCTGGCACAAGTTCTGCGATATTACAACAGCCACACAATAGTAAACGGTGGTTGAGGTTAAAATTTTAGGTCAGATGAGCCTTTGAATCAGTGTCACTGTGCAAAAATGGCAATGCTCAGTTTGCTTTTTTTGTGCGAGTGTCGGCTTACAAGGGTAATGGATGCATGTTTAAGCAGGAAGGTTAAATGTGTACACATTGTCAAAATTCAGCACGAGGGCACTGCAGGACAAGTCAGGAGCCACAGCGCGAAGCCTTTACGCTGAGAAGAAACTGAGTTTAAATTCATGTTTCAAGCATCCGTAATTAAACCAGGTTCTCAGTTATAGAATTGATCATCTCTGTTCAGTCACCAATGACTGCAAAAAAAAAAACCTCCGTCATTTAACATTTGGGTTTTCACTAAATGTAGATAATAAAAAATTAGCCAATTTTTTTTATCTCATCTCCGATGCGTGAATATAAAGGTCCCTTGAGTGTTTGGCACGTGGGACGAAACTGCAGTGCCCGGAAAAAACCTCCACGTAAGCTGAAACGCATCGTCGCTCAACTCGCGGTCACCTCGCAGCCCGGCGCCGACAATATAGTCGCGAGCCCTGGTGGTCGCCCATCCAAGTGTTGATCAGCCTCAACCAATCTTAGCTTCCGAGATCCGACGATACCGGGTGCATTCAAGGTGAATTGGTCTATTGATAACCACCCCCAATGTGTTTTCTGGTTCTGATGAAGAAGCACGTGGAGTGAAACGTCAGACATCGTGCCAAACAATGCGCGATACAACTCAAGAACACATCTGCGAGCTGCACAGGACAAACACAAAAAAAACATGCGCGGTGATCATAAAAGGTAAAAATTGGAAATTGCACAAGGTGGACTTTTATTTCAAATTTCATGACCATCAACGGCTTGACGCTGACTTCGGTGAATTGCGAATGCATTTGCCCGCATTGTCATTGTAGAAATGTTTGCACACGTGTCTGTGTCTCTCTGTGTGCGTGTGCATGATGGCTGTTATTCTACTCTCTCTCTTGACCTCTTCTGTTAACGCAGTAAAATAAAAACTCAGCCGAACTGATTATGGACTGTGCACACAAGCAGCACGTGTACGTGTGTGCACTTGCAATGTTTTTTTTTATCGGGGTGACCTCTCTCCAGGTGGCCCCGTGCGAATGCCTTAGTTTGGACAAATGACAAAAAATGCAGAGAAAACAGAAATGTAATGTGACGGTTGTTTTGAGGTGGCACGAGTTAATAAGTGCATGGGTTACCCTGTACAATGTCAGTTGTCAAAAACACATTTTGTTCAAGGAATAAAAACATGTCAGACACACATAATACACAATAATTCATCTTTCACGTCCCAGCTTGTATAAGCCGAATCTATTTTCGATATCTGCACTCATAGCACACCACCACGATAATTCGCCCGTGCTATCGTCATCAGCAAAAGTGGCTGGGAAGCGTCTGGATTTTGGTGGAACATTCAATGACCTAAGCATTCAAGAATGTGTGCATGTGCATCATTAGCCATTTTGTCAATCCACTGCTGGATGAGGGCCTACCCCACACCGTGTCAGTCATGGGGAGTTTCGTCTGCGCGGGTTGCTAAAGGGCGAGGCACAGGACTCACCGCTGTGTATCCACTGCTGGGAATCTAACTCAGATCGTAGGGTACCATAGGACAGTGCGTTAATCACTACGGCACCACTCAAAGAGTTACATTATTATATCATGTGGTCGGCTACTCCGATTTTCTTTCTCTCTGTATTGTAGTCATATCGTGTGCCACTTCTGTCGTCACATCCACTATCCTCATATGTGACTCCACCGCATCCTCCCGTCTCACTCTCGGTCTCCTCTCTACTCCTTCTGCCCTGGACTGGCAGCAGCTACTTTCCCCTTGATCTACATCGGCCCTCTAATCTTCTTTGTCTCTTCTCAACACCGTGGTGTTCAAACCATATACAAAGTCCATCCTCCCTCTAAAGCTCTAACTTATTTATTCCTCCTCCTCTACCTTAGAGATAATCCCAACATCCACCTTAGCATTCTTATTCCTGCCCTTTCAAACACTCTCTTCTCTCCTTCATTAGTTACCACGTCTCTGCAACAAATGCATAGCTGGCCAGCATCTATGATAATGACAGCGTATCTACCAGCTCCGGCGGTCCCCAGCCCTGGCTGGGAGACGAACGCAAAGGGGCCCACGTCAACTCCGAAGTCCCAGAGCGGCCACGATAATGAGCTGTGCATGACGGCGATTGCAGGAAGCGTCTTCGCAAATCAGTGATTTGATCGCGGCGTGAGATTGACTACTCGCTCATGCGGCACGGGCTCTTTCCGCCATCGAGTGCTCTGTGCGGTATTAATTAAAGGCAGCCACTTCGTAGGACCCAAAGGGGCCCAAATCCCCAAAGTCTATTGTGCAAGTCATAAGCCAGAGATTACTATAGCTTAGGACTTTATTATTATTATGCTTGTTTACCCAGGAAAGCCTCCCTGAGTCTCAAGGCTCTGTTTTGGGAGAATACGGACAAGCTTTTGCAGTTTTGGAAAATATTATTATGCCAGAAAGGGTAAACCCTATTTTTTTCATCAATGTAGGTATATGATCCCAGTTTATATATTTTAGCAATTTGATGTTTGGCTCGTGCTATTTTTTTGGGAAGAAGCTTCTTTTCATTGGCCATGGGAGGAAACTGGAAAGCTTGAAAGAAACGCATGCAGAACAGGAGGAGAACATACAAACTGAATCCAGGATCTTCTTGCTGTGATCAGGCAGTGAACATTTGCATGCTACAATTAAGAGTTCACACACGCACCTATTTCTGACAAATAATCTGGGCCAGAGTGGTCGGTGGAAACTGTCTAGAGTGATATGACTTTAGCATAGATGTATCAACTCAATAAATAATGTTATTTTGTATTTTACCAGGTTAGACCCACTGAGCTATATAGCTTTATTTCAGAAGCAACCAGGCCACAAATTATAGCGCAACGAAGTGGCTCATCATGTGGAAATTTACAGTAGCCAAATACTCTAAACGCACGTTTATAAATGTGGAGGGGGAAAACCGGCGGACCCTGAGAAAAAATCTACACAACCACGGGGAGCGAGACATGCAAACTCCAAATGTGCAACAGGTGTCAGGGTTGGGATCGAACCAGCGACCTCCTTCATACCAGGCCAACATTTCGCCAGCATCTCGCCACCGCGGCGACCTTTTAGCAGCAGCCTTTAGCAACCTCTCTCGTGCATGGTTATCGCCCATCCAGGCTCACCCCTGCTTAGCTTCTGACATGATATTGGATTCGGCGCATTCCGGGAGACTTGGTTATAGGCCAGGTTGATTTACGGTCGAAACACATACACGGGCATAACTCCAATCCCACTCATTATTTTTGTAACTCTACTCCCATTCATAATCCAACCCCTACCTCTACAATCACCAACTATATCGTTGCTAACGTGTCAGGCCGTGCCGGGTTAAGCTAGTGCGGGGCCTGTCGCGTTTGTTATAAATGGGCCCTAAATAAATAAATAAAACATACATATTAAAACACATTTCTTTACTTGCTTAGTAAAGCAATTGGATTTTTTCATTTGCTATACAGCCAGATAATACGACAAATCGCTATCCTCAAACACCCAGTCGTTCATAAAATTGAAGGCAGTATAGTACTATAGTAATAGAGCAAGTGCAGAATCACTGAAACGGAATTGATAGCTTGAAAGCATTTAGCGCGGGGCACCTTAAAAGTGCGGGGTCCGTAGCATTTGTATTGGTGTAGTAGCTGCACGTGCAGTAGCTACATGTGTAGTAGCTACATGCAGCTACTGCACATGCAGCTACTGCACATGCAGCTACTGCACATGTAGTACTACACATGCAGATACTGCACATGCAGCTACTACACATGTAGCTACTACTACACATGTAGCTACTACACATGCAGCTACTACTACACATGCAGCTACTACACATGTAGTACTACACATGTAGCTACTACACATGTAGCTACTACACATGTAGCTACTACTACACATGTAGCTACTACACGTGCAGCTACTACTACACGTGCAGCTACTACTACACGTGCAGCTACTACTACACGTGCAGCTACTACTACACGTGCAGCTGCTACACGTGCAGCTGCTTTTGCTACGAGGATGAACCGGCACTGGTCAGGCCTGTCCATGACGTTTAGGTGGCCTTCGTGCATTGTGCTTTGAGGGTGAATTCGCCGCACACGTGGCAACACTGCCACCTGCTGCATGACCACGGTGGCACGGCGCGCCACGATGCGATACGGAATAAAAACCACGGTGATTCAAGGCATTTTTTGTGCATTGCGGTATTATTAAAGCTCCTGCGATTGTTGGGGGCCAAAAGGCACGAGCACTGGACTACTCCCACCCCTCTGGGATTGTATAAATCGGAAATGTGAAGCTCTACCGTGACGGGTTTTATCGCGAAGGACGCTAAATGTGAAATCTCACCGTGGCACCCGCTGTGACTATGAGATGTTAACTACCTCGCCGGGTGTGCAAGGAGGAATCGTGGGTTCTATCCTGACCCTGTGACGCCCCCTGTATACATATTCTTTGGTTCTTTCGGTAAAGTCACGTAGAATGAGAATAATAAAATAACACAATAAAAATTCTCACGACGTTTCGGCCACAACACAAGTGGCCTCTGGACAGTCCAGTCCCTTCACCTGATGAAGGCCACTTGTGTTGTGGCCGAAACGTCGTGAGAATTTTATTGTGTTGTTTTATTTTATTATTTTATTCTCATTCTACGTGACTTTACCGAAAGAACCAAAGAAAATTAATCCTTGCAGTCACGAAAGCTTTAAATCGAAAGCCCCCTGTATATTTTGGGAGTTTGCGTCTCTCTCTCTCTCTCTCTTGCTCTCTCGCTCTCACCTATCCACGTGGATTTATCTCCGGGTCCTCCAGAATGAACATCATCATTACGGATTTTAAAGTGGAGGCTTTCGGATGCTCTAAATGTCCACATTGGTACGCCAAATTCGTCCAGCTGCCATTTGTGATTTGTGATGGCCAGGTAGCTTCTGACAAAGAGCTACATTATTTAAAAAAAATGTTTACATGAATAGTTTGTGAGCTCGCAATTAGTAAGTTGTTGGGTTTTTTTTTTGCGAATTGTAAGTTTGCACTTTTAAACGTTCAGGGCGGCAGGGGGTGGGGTGGGTTGTTAATAAAATCGCGTTTCGGGAAGCGGCTTAACCGCGCGACTTTCCGTCGGTCCCTGCGCAGGTGACGTCACACGCCCGGGCAGCATGGCGGAGCACAGCATGGAAGGTGAGAGCGCTAGCGATTTGGGGGGTAACGAAGGTAACGGGGTAACGGTGTAACGGAGGTAACGGAGGTATCGGGGCTAATGTTGACGTGCTTACCGTGAAGTGAACGGCGTTAAACGTGGGCTTGGTCGAGGCAGTGTGGGTTGCTGGACGACTGTGGACAGAGAGCTTTACCGCTCTTCGGATTCCTCCGGTATAGATGACAGATTTTTAAGGGGGTTAATGTGGTTACTGATGGATCAGTAAGGACAGTGCAGCTAATGATGATTTGTTCATGTGGTTACTGGGGTTCATGTGGTTACTGGTGGGTCAGTAGGGACACAGTGGGGCCAATAAGGATGATGTGTTCATGTGGTTACTGGGGTTCATGTGGTTACTGGGGTTCATGTGGTTACTGGTGGGTCAGTAGGGACACTGGGGCTAATAAGGATGATGTGTTAATGTGGTTACTGGGGTTCATGTGGTTACTGGTGGGTCAGTAGGGACACTGGGGTTAATAAGGATGATGTGTTCATGTGGTTACTGGGGTTCATGTGGTTACTGGTGGGTCAGTCGGGACACAGTGGGGTGAATAAGGATGATTTGTTCATGTGGTTACTGGGGTTCATGTGGCTACTGGTGGGTCAGTAGGGACACAGTGGGGTGAATAAGGATGATGTGTTAATGTGGTTACTGGGGTTCATGTGGCTACTGGTGGGTCAGTAGGGACAGTGGGGTTAATAAGGATGATGTGTTAATGTGGTTACTGGGGTTCATGTGGCTACTGGTGGGTCAGTAGGGACACAGTGGGGCTAATAATGATGATGTGTTCATGTGGTTACTGAGTGGTTAATGTGGTTACTGGTGGGCCCGTAGGGATATAGTGGGGTTAATAAGGATGATTTGTTCATGTGGTTACTGGGGGGGTTCATAGGAATAATGTGGGATTCATAGGGGTGATGTGTGGTTAATGAAGATATTGGTCTGCATAGGATTACTGTCATGTTAATGTCGCTGTCAATTGTCACTTGGACTGACGACCACTAATTAGCACGGTTGGTTGGCAACGTACGGTGAAAATTAAGTTCTACATACATACGCAAATGTTGCTGATTTTGATGTTCATGCTGAATGTACTGGCCCGTAATGTTCATGGGATATGGTTAATGTGCTTGTATTGTTGCTGTGGTGATATTTTGTGTTACTCGTGGCGGGTGTGATTGTGATGTGGTTGTATATATTAGTGCCGATGTGAGTAAACAGTAATCTGATTGTTGTTGTGATTTGTGGTGTGTGAGCTTGATGTGATGTTTGTCGTTATGAGTGTGATGCTGTGCTTGTCGTTGTTATCAGTGGTGTTGTTATTGCCGGCGTGAGCACGAGACGGATGAGTGACTTCCTCACCCCCCTGCGTCAGTTGACAGACGGGCCGAGTCGGAGGAGTCTGCGGATGAGGAGGCGGCAGGAGGCGCCGCTTTGAGTCCGAAGCAACAGCAGCAGCAGGGTGCTTGTTCTCTTCCATCACTTACATAATTTACTTCATCGGCATTAACAATTAATCGCTACATATTGGGAGTGAACTGTGGCGGTGTGGCTCGTACACCGAGCTATGAACATGGCAACCCGAGTTCGATTCCCCTAACATCAGTGACAATTGATATCTGAACCGGTGCTGGGCAAATCCACCCTCGCGCAAAAAATTGACCAGCGTGGTGAAATGTGGTCAAACAATCCCACGACTGGTTTGATGTGCAGAAGCCTTCATCCAGCAGTAAAATGACAAAAAGGCTGATTATAGTTTTTTTTTAAATCTATATAATCACTGCACTAACACCATTACTAGTATTCATATTAACAGCATACCTCAATTCGCATATTTAACAGCAATCACGGCATTTACAGCCACGTTAACATCACCAGTAACATCGTCCTTCTTAACACGAACGTCGTGCGATTACCAATCATTGACCTTAACTTCCTTATATCTTTGTTCCGCACATTTTATCAGACGTGAGAGGGGCTCGCGTTTACATTTTCATTGCGACATTTGGAACCCATTCCCATTCAAAGCTGTATGTCCTGTTAGGTAGCTTCACAGTTTGTGTGTCGACAGCGGCCAAGGCTTGTGTGAAACACTCATGTTCTCCATGTTCAATGGCTGCAGTGTTTATTCATTAACATAGCTGCACGTTGCACATAAAGACCCATGTGTTCTTCGGTCTTCAAAGGAAAGCCAGTTCGTTTTACGCTTAGCGGTTGACTACATGCATGAAAAAATTAGTTTGTAAGTGATAAAATGCTGCTTTTAAGTGATATGATGTAGTGATGTATTTGTTTACGTGACAGAAATACACATTCACTCAGTTTTGTATTGCCCCACTGGCAAAGCTGTAAAACTATTTAATAGCAGATGTGTGGCATATAATGCTTTGAACGTGTACAGTTTAACAGACTCCTGTGCATATAATTCATTAGCTGTTCTCTAATCCACTGTTGGATGAAGGCCACCCCATTTCTTTTGATGCCGCAATTTGTGTCACTCTATACACGAACCCATCTTATTGCTCGATCTCTTTGGTGGGTGCCCTCTGGGCCCCGTCCTCTCCATTGACTGTCAATTCCAATCGCCAGTCTTGTCTACCACCAATCATCTGTGCCTGTAATGTGTTGTTTTTTCCAAGGACCACTTTCCTGAAGCTGATTTGGGATTGTTCCCAGGTTCATGTGTCCCACCATTGTGTGTGTAATTACTGGCTGGAGATTTAATGATGGACCGCGGGTGTGTAGTTAAAGAATGCTGTTTTTTGTCAATTAAGTTTTCCATATGCAATACTGGCTTAAATAAATAAAATATAGAATCTTAATTGGCACTGATGAACAATTGTATGGCATTAAATTGGGTGCTGTTGGGTAGACTTCCAATTATAAACCCAGTTATTTGTTGAATGCGAATTGTCCTCAACTTGTTGAAAAATGCAATGACTGTTTTTACATCAGTACATACTGCTGGTCTTTGATGGCATGTGCACATATAAAGTTCACCCACAAGGTCACATTACATATTGCATACAGATCCGCGCCAGAATTAGGTATCTAGATCCCCAGGACATTGGCGAGGTGGCTCAGTGGTCGAGCGAGTGGCTCGCAATCACAAGGTTGTGAGTTTAATTCCTCATAGGGGGTTGACTCATCCCATTGTCTTCTGGGGGGTCGATAAAATTAAGTATCACTATTGTGGGGAAGTCAACAGTGGTTGTGCGATGACGTACATGTATGTCGTCGGAATGGTAAAGCCTTAATATTCGTATTTATACTATAGCATCAATTCCCCCTCTAAATCTAGCCCTGCAAGAAATGAACAAATGCGAGTGGGTTCGGTCTGTAAGTGTAAGCGTGCGTATGGGTCGTGTTATGGCTTTTCAGGTCAGAATGAGGTAGCAGTGGATATCGCCACCATAGAGCTCAACCCTGATGATGAGGTACAGTCCCACCACAGTGCTACACACAAATGGAATGTCACGTTTGCATATGTTCTGGCGTAATGTAAAGACAAACCGAATGCATACTCTTTGGTCCTTTCGGTAAAGTCACGCAGGTAGAAAAAATAATAGATCACGACTGTTTCGATTGCAACACAAGCAACCGTCATCAGATGTGAAACAAACATAGCAGAAGGACTGCTACGTCAACAGTCCTCCTGCTGCGTTTGTTTCACAGGAGGACTGCTGACGTAGCAGTCCTCCTGCTGCGTTTGTTTCACAGGAGGACTGCTGACGTAGCAGTCCTCCTGCTGCGTTTGTTTCACAGGACTGCTGACGTAGCAGTCCTCCTGCTATGTTTGTTTCACAGGAGGACTGCTACGTCAGCAGTCCTCCTGCTATGTTTGTTTCACAGGAGGACTGCTACGTCAGCAGTCCTCCTGCTACGTTTGTTTCACAGGAGGACTGCTGACGTAGCAGTCCTCCTGCTACGTTTGTTTCACACCTGATGACGGTTGCTTGTGTTGCGATCGAAACGTCGTGATCTTTTATTTTTTCTACCTGCGTGACTTTACCGAAAGAACCAAAGAGTGTGGATTCCTGCAGTCACGAAAGCTTCAAATCAAGATTAAACCGAATGCAATTAATGCCTTACTTTTTGCAGGAGGTGGACTTGAACCACTGTCGTATTGGGAAGATAGAGCGACTTGAAATCCTAATGAAAGTTAAGGTCAGTACCAGTAAGAAGATTACCTTTTCAGCAAACAAATGGTGCATTCAGTCAACTTGAACTTACCACTTTGTTCCAGTACAAGGGGTATACGAGGAGGCCATCATCCAGCAGTGGATTGACAAAAGGGATGTGCATGTGTAATAAGTGGGCATTATTAAAGGGATGGAGTGGTGGAGCATTGGTTAGTGCAGTCTGTTATAAGCCTAGCAATTAATATCTTGCCCTTAGCTATCATCAATGGTGAGTGATATCTGAATCGGTTGTGGCCCCTCGCCCCACCTCCTTCACCAGCCTACATGATGAAGTACGCTCAAACAACCCACATGATCAACATGGCATGGGGAAGCCTTTATCCAGCAGTTGACTGACATAAAGCTGTAATATATTTGTAAAAATGGATTTGCTGTATGGTTTTGTATTTGTTTTGCTTTTTTTTATTAGAATCACTGCACAAGGTTTGATGGTGTTCAGTCAACTCTGTCATGTAACTGAAGAGTGATGCTATCGGTGCTGTGCTTGGTGTGGGTGGGTGTTAATGTTTGTTGGAACAGGTGCTATGCTTGCGACAAAACATGATAGCACAGATTGAGAACCTGGAGAGCTTGACGACTCTGCGGGAGCTCGACTTGTACGACAATGTCCTCAAGAAGATTGAGAATCTTGACACGCTGGTGAACCTAGAGTGAGTCTTCTTTTTCGTGCCGTTTAATTCGCTGTCTTCTTTCCAACCTTATTCATGTTGAATGTTGCCATCACTGCCCAAGGCTGCATTCACACCTGCTGTTTAACTATAACACATGCTGTTTAACACATGCTGTTTAACTATAACAGCAGTGGTGTTTTGGCACAGCATATATATTTGAAAACTTGTTATCCCTTTTCACAAAACACTTCTATTTTTATGAAACCCAGTTTCAAGATGCCACCCACGGTAGCGTGAAAGTGACTCATACCTAGACATATAGGAAAGGATGATTATTGTCAAATTGTCAACATTTTGCTTGGTTTTCAACTTCACCGATTTGCTGAAAAACGGAATCGCTTGTCACGTTTGCTCACGGACAACTTGATTTGTTAGGCTTTGTCAGGTGATCCAGAGCTGCTTCTCTAATTGACATACCTACACAATCCGACCCACAAAAGAAACCAATGATGAATCGGTTGATGTGTCATGAAAGTTTACATTAAATCTTACCAATCACACATAGGTGAACATGTCTTGTAAACAGTACACCCCTGTGTGTTTTTAAACGTTATTCCTTCAAAGATGCGGTTAGGCTGATGACAGCTAAAAAGCCGTGCTTGTTTAATCGCTCTCCATGCTTTGCATCATTCACGGGCCCTTGCGAAAATTGTTGCACAATGCAGCTGTCTTAAACTACCTGTGCCAGTACATGTGCATTCATAGCATCTCTTAAAAACTAACCATTATACTTGAAACTTACCAATGTTTTTTTAGACATACCATAAATGTGGGTTATTGTAATTGATTTTAACAAATGTAATATATTAACATCTTGCATGGTGACGTGTATTTGTGTAAAATTTGCTTGTGGTCAGAATAGTAAGGATTATTACATATAGAAGTAGTTTAATTAAGTATTACGAAAAATTTTGCCTCCTTTCCATAATGTTGTAAGGTTTAATGCACTTGTACATGAATTTTATTTTGCTCATATTTATCTTAATATTTTTATTATTTTATTGTTTCCCTTCTACGTGACTTTACCAAAAGAACCAAGAATATGAATCCCTGCAGTCACGAAAGCTTTAAATCAAAATTTAATCCCGGCTTTTCAGCCTTTCTTCCATTGAATACTTCAGTCATGTCTTGTATGTAATTTCTATAGGTTGTATGACTAATCGGCAAGTATGCTGATAGTTCATTTGTTTGCATTTTATAAACATCTGCCCATTTGATGACGCGTCGATCAGGATGCTTGACATTTCGTTCAACGTGCTGCGCAAGATCGAGGGCCTGGACACGTTGAGAAAAGTTCGCAAGCTCTTCCTCGTGAGCAACAAGATCACCAAAATCGAGAACCTGAACTCTCTGACTGAGCTGCGCATGCTGGAGGTGGCATCTAACCGCATTCGGGTATGAATTGGCCACCCCTTAACACATTTAAGTCCACAGGTGTGAGGCATACAGACCCTGTTCCCTTCATATCCCACGGGCCAATGCTCTCTTCTCAAAAACCTGTAACACGTGACCCCATAGCCATTGTCAATTTCTCAGCAGCTTGTATAGCTGCTTGGTTGATATAGCCCAATTACCTGGTTGGGGGTCCTCCATTTAGTACGTACGCAAAAATCTGTCAAAACTTGACCCCCCACCCCTCCCTGTATGCACGCATACTTTTTACACCCCTTCCCCACCTGCGTACGTACGCTTGACGCACCCCCCCCCCCCCCCGAATCCTATAGAACGGGCGATATTTAATCCATGCAGAAACGATCAAGGATTAATAATATTAACGAGTTTAAGCAAAACAGATAGTCCACCGCCAGACTATCTAACTCATTTGAAGGCCAATGTAGACAAATTATTATCGAGGCTTCACCCCCCGTTTCCTATGCGTATGTACATTGTCAGTAGACCCCCCATACGCAAGCGTACGCATTTGGGTTAACCCCCCTTCCATGCGTACGTACGAAATGGATGGCCCCTTGTGAGCTGCTTGGTCAGCTGACTTCAAAGTTGTGACAGTTCAAAATAGGGGTGGGACAATTCACAAACCCTCCACCCCTTCGGTGCTTCGATGATTTGTCAAAAAAATCAGCTTCATCTTTAAAAAAATTAGGAATATATTTTTTTAGTTGTATGGGTGATGTGAACCCATTTATATGTACAACGTATCATAATTAAAGAGTAATTGACAGGGGTTTGCCATTCCACTGTGGCCACATTCGCTGGACAAACAGTGCCGAGGACAATGAACCACATTAGTTAAACGTGAATGTAATATTGGACCTCATTTACATACACAACACATAAACATTCAGATAAAACTATTAAACTAAACAATTTTTTTTATTTGACCACGTAAGGCTCACTGAGCTATATAGCTCTTTTTCAGAAGCGATCTGGCCACAAATGATAGCTCAACGAAGTGGCTTATCAGGTGGAAATGTATAGCAGCCAAATATTCACTTAAATTGGAGGTACACTTTTAAATGAGTTCTCCATGCATACATACAGACTACCTGGGTTCATGTGAATGCTACTTAAATTATAACGCTGGCAACCGGTGTGATGTTTTCGTTGCCTTTTCTCCCTGCAGGTCATTGAAAACATTGAGACTTTAAAGAACTTGGATTCGCTGTTTATTGGGAAGAACAAAATCACCAAACTGCAGAACCTTGACAGCCTCACCAACCTGACCGTGCTTAGTATACAGGTATCAGGCCATAGAATAATATATTTAACATTTATTTAAAGATGCCGCATGTTGATTGTGATATGTCTCATAATGCATGTCTCTATGCCAACACTGATTTAAGTCAAGGTGTAATTATTTGTGATATTCACCACAGTGTAAAAATACATTCTTATTGTATTATTCTTGTTTACCCAGGAAAACGTCACGCAGTCTGCAGACTATTTTACAGGAGGGTCCTGCACAACTTTTTGCAATAAGAGGCAATGTTGCTATGTGTAATTCCAATTGAGTAATTTGAATGTTATATTTTAACATTGGGATGTTTGGCCAAGAACAGAATAACACTGCAACCCAGAAGCTCTATCATTCACTGGATCTGCTTAATTTCTCGGTTTAATATGAAATAAATAAGCAAGTAACTTTATCTGAATGCATTGCTCATGTATGCAAATGTCACCATCAACTGTAGCCCTTAATATTATCTGAGCAAACATTCCAAATTGGTTCGATAAGTGAACTCTTCCATAATAAATCTTGTGCTTGCGTCTCTGATACTACTTGTCCCCACTTGCTTACCTTTTGGTAAGAGCAGTGGTTGTCTCATTGTCTCATGGATAGACTCACTCCCATCATAGTAATGTGGAATTTACATAAGCCACTCACCACAGCTGTTAACAGGATATGGAGCACCGTTTCAAGCTTGTTTGAGCAAACTACCACTTGTGACTCTTAAGCATCTATATATGCCCTTTGACCCGGCGTCAATGCTTACTTATGGGTGCCACTGTGGCGAGTTGTTAACTACCTCGCCTGGTATACAGGAGGTCTTGGGTTTGATCTTGATCCTGATGTCTGCATATTTGGAGTTTGCATGTTCTCACTGTGGTCACGTGGATGTTTTCGCCGGGTCCTCTGGTTTTTCCCTGCACATTTAGAAACTTGTGTTTAGAGTATTCGGCTGCTATACATTTTGACATGATAAGTCACTTCGTTGAGATTTCATTTGTGGCCAGATCGCTTCTGAAAAGAGCAATATAGCTCAGTGGGCCTTTCTTGGTAAAATAAAATGAAGTTTCTCGTTTAATTTGCTCCATGTGACCTTTATGCTTCCATGTCTCTGTGTGTCCTGTGACCCCAGAGTAACCGGATCACCAAGATAGAAGGCTTGAGCAGCCTCGTGAACTTGCAGGAGCTCTACCTGAGCCACAACGGCATTGAGGTCATCGAGGGCCTTGAGAACAATGTGAGCGTTGTACATTTTTTTAATATATAATATACAGTACGTTGGCTGAAACTCTTTTTGAGATGTGTACTTCCACCGATTACTTTGAAAGCGTTTTACTATGGTGCTGAGTGAATGTTTTAGTTGATGCCTCCACCGCAGTCCATTTCGCACCGTTTATCTTTGCCCGTGCTGGTGTTTGTACAGAAAAAACTAACGACCTTGGACATCGCCGCCAATCGCGTGCGAAGGATCGAGAATGTGGGCCACCTGACAGAGCTGCAGGAGTTCTGGGTCAGTCTTGCTCCCCAGTCCCTTCTCCGCAGCCCACTTAGTGCACCGAGCTGGCACGAGCACTCCCATTATTAATTCAAGGCACAAACACACGTTAGAGAGTGTTCCATAAATTCCGGCGACTTGAGGCAGGGGTGGCGCGTTCGCCACTATTTTAAGAAGTTGGAGGCTGGAATCGGGCAGGCCGCCCTGGTAAATACATCAGTTGTATGAACGATAAAATACTCAGTACACTCTGCTTTATAGTGAACGTTAAAGAGCCTGTGAGATCATTTAAAAATAATAGGCTATTGTGTGCTGGTGTCATGGTCCAAATGACATAATTGCGAATTACACTTGTCAATCTTTGCCCCCCCCTACTGTTACAACTAAAGCCCACTTGCAGGCTCACCTTGTGCCGTATAGGGACAACTGCAATTGGGGTTCCTTTGGAAAAGCTTAAGTGAGATGTGCCCTAGAAAGGCAAAGATCACGATTATAATTTTTTTTATGCATATGCGCGATTTGTATTTCTTTAAACGTGCAACGTGGTAATGCCTCAACGCTCTTGCCCTTTGCAGATGAACGACAACCAGATCTCCAACTGGAACGACGTGGACGAGCTGAAGAACGCGCGGGGCCTGCAGACCGTGTACCTGGAACGCAACCCCCTGCAGCGCGACCCACAATACCGCCGCAAGATCATGCTGGCACTGCCATGGGTACGGCAGATCGACGCCACCTACGTGCGCTTCTAGCGCAAGTCTGAGTGCCGGCGACGATCTTTTTTTCGACACTGAAGATTTGGGAATTTAAATTTTCCTGTAGCTTTGTTAGAACAAATTATTTGGGTGCGTTTTGTAAGTTACAGTACAACGTCGCATATCAGATTAGCAGGGTCACTGGTTTGTGGTAGATTTTTTTATTAAAAGGTTGGATAAGTGACCATCTGTCTACAGAAGATGACAGTTGCGCCATGCACAAATAGGTTACTGGACAAATATACAGCGCTAAGCGACTCTTAACATGGGAAAACCGTTGACCTGTCCTTCAGAAGTAAGTGAATGTACGCAGGATTAAGGATACATTATTTCGCATGCAAATGCTGGCTTTGTGAACAACTAGAAAATCACACTTTCACCATGCACAGATAGATACCGCACAGGGTTTGGGCAGCAAATTGGTCAGGGTGGTTATGTCATGGTCTATCATGTGACGGTCTACTGTATATCAGTTAAAACGCTTTAGTCGTAGAAGCAGTACTTAAGTAGAACCCCAAGAGAGCATGAAGCAGCTGTTTTGGCTTGAAATTTACTTTAGGGAGACCAGGTCGTCTGGCCTGGAAGGTGTGCATATGACAGGCGAGATTTGTGTGCAATTGGATGTGGGGGTTAATGTCGTTTTTTAAAAGTCTGAAAGCATTTGGGTCTTTCATGTTGCCTCGTATGTTGCTTGTGTATGCATTGTTTTTTACCGTGCATCTGACAACATTTCTTTACCTTCCTGAGAGGTGCAGTTTAATCGTAAAATGTCAAGTATCCAGACACCCAATTCAGAAACTGCATTTTAAGCCACTGATGCTTAGAAAAGTGGTTTAAGCATGCACGGTCGAAATCGTTTAGAATATTTGCCCCACATTCTCATTATTCCAGAAGCTAGAATTCCTGGCAACATGACAGCTGCATAAATAGCTTCATAGGTGTTTCACTAAAAATAGTGGAGCCGTGGATATGCTAAACTGTCTTTACTTTCTGCCAGCTCTTTGAAAATGAATAAATTACCGAAAATGTGTCCTAGTTGCTCCCTGCCAAGTGCCTCCACTACACCCTTAATGTGGATGATGTGGAGGAGCAGCAGTTCACATTTCTTGAGACATTATGTTCTCATTAATTAAATACATGGATGAAGTAACAGCGCTAGTTTTTTAAAATCACTGCATTGTGTCTGCATGCGTATGTTACAAGTTGTGTTGTAATTGTCACACTTGAGTGCTCACACATTACCGGCAAGGAGGCCATTCCTTGCCTGCATTTAACTGTGGCTCCACTAACCCGATGCTTTACACGTTTGTTGAAGATTACGAACCTATAACTCTCCGGTGTGTGTATTCCGGTCATGCCGCATTTGTTCAGCACGATGCCTGTTTCGCTATGTGGGCAGGGAGAATCTTCAAGAGCTCATTATTTGAACATCGTACCCAACTAAAATCGGTACAATTTTAAAATACTTTAGAGAGTTATATAGTACAGCACAAGCCGGACGAGCTGTGCAGTAAATTATGAATAACCTTAAATGTGATTTTTAGCAAATGGGCTACTTTGCAACTGCAGTTCACTGTTAAGTTATTTATATACTGCTTGTTACGTTGTGATTCAGTCAAAAGCTTTTCAGATACATCATTATGGGAGTGGCTGTTCTGGCAGAGTTTATGGTGACCTGGAAAGTGTATTAATATATAACAGTTTCGGATTCATAATGGGCAATTGTGTATGAATATTGAGGGTAATGTGATGAGATGTCAGCCAATTGCATGACGTTTTAGATTCCGTGTACCTGGAGACAAATTGTCCACCTTTATCAATGTTTCCAGATCATGGGACACAGCTTTTTTAAATGAGAAAATATTTAAATAAATTTCAACACACGACAGTCACCCAGAACTCCGCATTAGTCAGTAAAGGCAAGCAATTTAACGGGCTTTTTTTATCCATTGGCAAAATGCACCATCGTAAGCAAATGTATCAAGTGTTTGATTATTCATTTTAATTATAACCAGCTGTCTTGTTGAATACCAGTTGTGCATCTTGCACCCAACGCTTTAAATTGACGGACCGAACCAGTGCGATTGGAGAGTCACTGGTTTCGGCAACTCATTTGTATCCCTAAGATAACGATGTGGGCGATGTGGTTGGTATTTATTCCTGTCCATTCTCGCTTTGAATGCACTCCAGTTGGTCGTTGCGTGTGGTTTGCAGTGGCTGAACAGCAGTGTGCCTTGAGGCTGGAAAACACAGCCAGGAACAATTTGCCATCAAGTTCAATTGTCACGAGCTGTCACGTTGATTTAACTCTGTGGCGTGACCTTGTTTAAAGGGGTGGCATGCAACACTCAGGGTTCGGGGTTGGGCACGACGCAATATTAAACAAGCTCTCTGTTACACGTACAGTGAGGGAAAAGCGTATTTGATCCCCTGCTGATTTTGTACGTTTGCCCACTGACAAAGAAATTATCAGTCTATAATTTTAATGGTAGGTTTATTTGAACAGTGAGAGACAGAATAACAACAACAAAATCCAGAAAAACGCATGTCGAAAAGGTTATAAATTGATTTGCATTTTAATGAGGGAAATAAGTATTCGACCCCTCTGCAAAACATGACTTAGTACTTGGTGGCAAAACCGTTGTTGGCAATCACAGAGGTCAGACGTTTCTCGTAGTTGGCCACCAGGTTTGCACACATCTCAGGAGGGATTTTGTCCCACTCCTCTTTGCAGATCTTCTCCAAGTCATTAAGGTTCCGAGGCTGACATTTGGCAACTCGAACCTTCAGCTCCCTCCACATATTTTCTATGGGATTAAGGTCTGGAGACTGGCTAGGCCACTCCAGTACCTTAATGTGCTTCTTCTTGAGCCACTCCTGTGTTGCCTTGGCCGTGTGTTTTGGGTCATTGTCATGCTGGAATACCCATCCACGACCCATTTTCAATGCCCTGGCTGAGGGAAGGAGGTTCTCACCCAAGATTTGACGGTACATGGCCCTGTCCATCGTCCCTTTGATGCGGTGAAGTTGTCCTGTCCCATTAGCAGAAAAACACCCCCAAAGCATAATGTTTCCACCTCCATGTTTGACGGTGGGGATGGTGTTCTTGGGGTCATAGGCAGCATTCCTCCTCCAAACATGGCGAGTTGAGTTGATGCCAAAGAGCTCCATTTTGGTCTCATCTGACCACAACACTTTCACCTAGTTGTCCTCTGAATCATTCATATGTTCATTGGCCAACTTCAGACGGGCATGTATATGTGCTTTCTTGAGCAGGGGGACCTTGCGGGCGCTGCAGGATCTCAGTCCTTCACGGTGTAGTGTGTTACCAATTGTTTTCTTGGTGACTGGTCCCAGCTGGGAGATCATTGACAAGATCCTCCCGTGTAGTTCTGGGCTGATTCCTCACCGTTCTCATGATCATTGCAACTCCACGAGGTGAGATCTTGCATGGAGCCCCAGGCCGAGGGAGATTGACAGTTATTTTGTGTTTCTTCCATTTGTGAATAATCGCACCAACTGTTGTCACCTTCTCACCAAGCTGCTTGGCAATGGTCTTGTAGCCCATTCCAGCCTTGTGTAGGTCTACAATATTGTCCCTGACATCCTTGGAGAGATCTTTGGTCTTGGCCATGGTGGAGAGTTTGGAATCTGATTGATTGCTTCTGTGGACAGGTGTCCTTTATACAGGTAACAAGCTGAGATTAGGAGCACTCCCTTTAAGAGTATGCTCCTAAACTCAGCTCGTTACCTGTATAAAAGACACCTGGGAGCCAGAAATCTTTCTTATTGAGAGGGGGTCAAATACTTATTTCCCTCATTAAAATGCAAATCAATTTATAACATTTTTGACATGCGTTTTTCTGGATTTTGTTGTTATTCCGTCTCTCACTGTTCAAATAAACCTACCATTAAAATTATAGACTGATCATTTCTTTGTCAGTGGGCAAACAGTACAAAATCAGCAGGGGATCAAATACTTTTTTCCCTCACTGTAGTAAGGGCGCCCTCAGCCTTCAGCAGTGGGAGGGGGGCTCAGCTCCCGACAACCCTGCCCTGACGCTACAGGGCTAAGTATTTTCAACAGCATGTCATAGTAAATTCGGTTCTGGCTTGATCGCAAGCAATATTTGGCAAATGCAAATACATGTTGCAGGTTCTCTACAGACCTAATTCTGTGAATGTCTCTTGATTGCATGATTTTTGGGAAAGTGGCTGATATAATCTCATATAATCGCAGAGGTCGTATTTCGTCATTTCATTTTACAAATTCTGATTCCATGACATGCTGTTGCAATTTTCTCATCACATGGAATGTTGGATGTCTTCAGTTGTAACTTATTTAAGTTGTGATGTTTAACCTGTATACGTGCTCTCCTACCAAGAATGAGAATGTTGCTCTATATAACAACGTATTACCCAAGAAAAGCTGATGATATTTTGTTGCTTTTCCACGTAATTACAGGCCTTTGTCAATCAGCTGCTCGATTAACGCCTTCACACACCATGTTAGTCAAGGGGGTTGTGTGCACATACTTCACCATACTGGTCCGTGCAGGCTGATGACATGTAATTTGGCTAAATTCCAGCTCAAAGGGTTCAACGTTTTCCATGTGGCAGGGCTGGTGAGAAGTACTGCCTTCTGCGTGAACGTCACTTTGTTGAACACGTCCCTGCGAGAGATGCGAATGGATAATTAAATGGTCTCTTGATGCCATGACCACAATCTGGATACAATTAAGGGCAAATTACAAAGAAAATAAAACCTTAATATGCTGTTGTACAGATAAATGTAACGAATTGCACGTGTTAAAAGCAACACTGCTCATCAGAGGACTGTTAAACAAAACTTCGTGATTTATTGCGTCGCCTTTCGAAATTCCACGTATTTATTTTCTTAAATATTGTGGTTGTAAAGTGTTTAAAACAATATAATGTACCATATATAGCAGTTATACAGTGAGGGAAAAAAAAGTATTTGATCCCCTGCTGATTTTGTACGTTTGCCCACTGACAAAGAAATGATCAGTCTATAATTTTAATGGTAGGTTTATTTGAACAGTGAGAGACAGAATAACAACAACAACATACAGAAAAACGCATGTCAAAAATGTTATAAATTGATTTGCATTTTAATGATGGAAATAAGTATTTAACCCCTCTGCAAAACATGACTTAGGACTTGGTGGCAAAACCGTTGTTGGCAATCACAGAGGTCAGACGTTTCTTGTAGTTGGCCACTCCTCTTTGCAGATCTTCTCCAAGTCATTAAGGTTTCGAGGCTGACGTTAGGCAACTCGAACCTTCAGCTCCCTCCACAGATTTTCTATGGGATTAAGGTCTGGAGACTGGCTAGGCCACTCCAGGACCTTAATGTGCTTCTTCTTGAGCCACTCCTTTGTTGCCTTGGCCATGTGTTTTGGGTCATTGTCATGCTGGAATACCCATCCACGACCCATTTTCAATGCCCTGGCTGAGGGAAGGAGGTTCTCACCCAAGATGTGACGGTACATAGCCCTGTCCATCGTCCCTTTGATGCGGTGAAGTTGTCCTGTCCCCTTAGCAGCAAAACACCCCCAAAGCATAATGTTTCCACCTCCATGTTTGACGGTGGGAATGGTGTTCTTGGGGTCATAGGCAGCATTCCTCCTCCAAACACGGCGAGTTGAGTTGATCCCAAAGAGCTCCAATTTGGTCTCATCTGACCACAACACTTTCACCCAGTTGTCCTCTGAATCATTCAGATGTTCATTGGCCAACTTCAGACGGGCATGTTTATGTGCTTTCTTGAGCAGGGGGACCTTGCGGGCGCTGTAGGATTTCAATCCTTCACGGCGTAGTGTGTTACCAATTGTTTTCTTGGTGACTATGGTCCCAGCTGCCTTGAGATCATTGACAAGATCCTCCCGTGTAGTTCTGGGCTGATACGTCACCGTTCTCATGATCATTGCAACTCCACTAGGTGAGATCTTGCATAAAGCCCCAGGCCGAGAGAGATTGATAGTTCTTTTGTATTTCTTCCATTTGCGAATAATTGCACCAACTGTTGTCACCTTCTCACCAAGCTGCTTGGCAATGGTCTTGTAGCCCATTCCATCCTTGTGTAGGTCTACAATCTTGTCCCTGACATCCTTGGAGAGCTCTTTGGTCTTGGCCATGGTGGAGAGTTTGGAATCTGATTGATTGATTGCTTCTGTGAACAGGTGTCCAACAGTTGGTGCGACAAGCTGAGATTAGGAGCACTCCCTTTAAGAGTATGCTCCTAATCTCAGCTTGTTACCTGTATAAAAGACACCTGGGAGCCAGAAATCTTTCTGATTTAGAAGGGGTCAAATACTTATTTCCCTCATTAAAATGCAAATCAATTTATAACATTTTTGACATGTGTTTTTCTGGATTTTTTTGTTGTTATTCTGTCTCTCACTGTTCAAATAAACCTACCATTAAAATTATAGGCTGATCATTTATTTATCAGTGGGCAAACGTACAAAATCAGCAGGGGATCAAATACTTTTTTCCCTCTATTTATCTCGTTTGAAACCTTTAGCAGCTCGTATCAAGCTTACCCGCTTTCCGTGATACCGAGTATACCACCTTGCAATGCTATCTCAAAAGTGAAGATAATTCATAGGTCTTGAGGCGACTGACTTTGTCATTTAATCTTTAGAATAGGCCTAACATTGCAGGAAGAGATTACAGGTGGGCTGCTCGGTTCACTTGTATTTTTGGGGCCAAATTCCAAGCACCTGAACTCTCCTCCTCAGTGACTTACCAATATGGCCCTGCCAGCAGTGAAATGTCGATGGTCGTGGTGCTTGTAATCGTAATGTCCATGACGTTTCAGTGTTGGGGTGCTTGTGTGGCGCAGTCAAACGTGAGAGCAGCGGGTCCGTTGTGGTACTACCCCCTAGCAGGTCTACAAACAAAATGAGCACAAATGTATATTTAAATATATCAACCCATTAATATATACCAGGGATTGGGGAGCCTATGGCTTCTAGGCATGATATAGGCCGGAAGTTAATTTCATAGGGCCCACGACTTTATTTTATGTGGCCCATGTCCACATTCGGCCTCTTCGAAACGGCCGGGGCCACAACATATTTAACGCTTCAAGTATCTTTGCAGTAATCATTGGGTACGAGAGGGGACTATTTTCAATACGTCAACGGCTGTTGATCATTTGAGTGCACCGAGTCACTTCTGTAAAGTCAATTCTGGAGGGGGCCTCTGGCACTACTAATGCGTGGTGATGGCCCCGTCAAATGTACCCGAAAGCCCTATTTGGGCCCTCGATAAGAGAAAGATTCCCCCCTCCACTTGATCTAAAGTAAATGCTGCAGGGTTGAAAGTAATATTTGCGGGGATGTGAGCTTCAAATGCATGCGTTAAGCAGTATCAACCCTTGCAGTATCATCCTGTACGTTTTGAAGACGGGAAACAATTTTGAGGTTTGTTGGTTCTGGAGATGGCCAATTGAACCTTGTGGCTGGGTCCCGACTAAACGCAAGTCAAAATCGT